TTCTCTGCATCCTCGCCAGCTCTTGTCGTTTGTTGATTTGTTGATGATAGCCATTCTGAGAGGTGTGGGATGGCACCTCATTGTTGTTTTTGATTTGCAAGTCTTAAGTGGCCTCAGGGCAAGGTGTTTTCCAATATGGTGTGTCGACTGTCTTCCCCCTATGCAAGACAAATGTCTATGTGGGAAAGATGTCCTCCACTGCATGATGGAGTGACTCAGCCTAGGAAACTTGGGTGTCTGCCTTCTGAGCTCTAAGCTCCCAAGCCCCAGTCCTGGGTTCTACTCTCACATCTCCAGTCCACTTCACCCTCCCTCTGCCAGAGCACAAAGTGGGTGGCTCCACAGGAAATATTTGTGCATTGGCTCTTCAAGAAGGTGCCCAAACTTTCAGCTGCCACTCCCTGGCAGACAGCACCCTGCTGCTTTTCACAGCTAGATGTTATGTGGGTACCCTCCTCAGATTTGGTGCTCTCTGCTGGGGATCCCAGCTTGGGGATTAGATCCCAGAGTTCATAGTGGCACTCCCCACCCCCTCTCCCCCAGCTGAGATATCTCTCCAGGACTTCAGTTGCTGTCTGTCCTTTCACACCTCCGCCCCTCCTACCAATCTATATGCAGTCTCCAACTTCTGTCCTTGGGTATCATGGTTCTCTCCTGTAAGTTTTCCATTCATTATTTAGGAAGCCTTTCTGTATTTCAGTTGTAATTCCAGATTGTAGAGATTTGTATTTTTAAAATGGACCAGACCAGAGTTCCTGATAATTGCATCTCAAAGGTCCTGGGACTTATGATTTGGAAAGCCAATTATAGCATTTTGAGCTGAATAGGGCAATGTAAAATGATTTAGTGGGCTTTAATATTCTGGAGCCACACCTCTGACGATGAAAACAGGGCACAGTAAAACAAGGACAGTACTTTAATCCCTCAAGCATTGGCAAATGTTGGCAAAAGAACGAACTAATTCATCCATTTTGAAATGTTTCTTTTTATTTGAGTATATTTTTCTCTGAGGTTCTATAGCAATTACAGAGAGATCTAGTTTACAGGTAGCATATAGCTGTCTCATAACTGCTTACAGGAATGGAAAAGACACATTGATCTAAGTAGGCCTCATTCTCCATTCACTTCCCTGGGAATGTGAAAACAGGTCTAGCTGCAGGCAGGGTAGCATTAAACTTAATGGTGCCATTAACTGGCCAAACCTCTTCATTGTCCACTTT